TTACCTCAGAAGCATACCGGCTAAAGTTTCGGGACATTAAGAAACCAACCAAAGACAAGCCCACAGAGTGGGCACAGTGAGCCGCAAAGGGGTGGTTGGAAGCCACCCAAGTCACCACTCTGGAAGACCTGTTCCAGTTAATGGTAACGGAACAGTTCTTCGACTGGCTGCCCACCATCTACAAAATTGGTAAGGGACCGAAAACCTTGCACTCTACAGGAGGCAGCCAAACTGGCGGATGAGTTCCAAGATACCAGGAGGGACCAACGCACCCAGCACCGTTGCCAGCGTGACCTCAGCCGTCCAGCTGCGACCAGGGGTAAGCAATAATACCTACACACCCAGATACCATACTCGTCCCCCGATCCGTTGCCACACCTGCAACCAGCAAGGCCATATTCAGCGAGACTGTCCCTGCAACCGACCCAGGCCGAGCTGGAACAACCCAGCACCCAGCAACTGAGCAGCCGTACACTGTATACAGGCAGAACCGTATGGCTCACCCGATATAGTGGCTCCAATGGAAGAACCCCTGGGGGCCCTACATAAGGTAAACCCCATTCAAGCCGCCTGCGATAACCGTCAGGGGCACCGACAGGAGGTACACATGGAGGGGAAAAAGGTACAAGGACTATGAGACTCTGGGGCCACTTTAACGCTAGTCCGAAACCATCTGGTGCCAAAGAACAACCTGACTGGGGACTGTGGCTGTACGGATAGCAGAGGGAGCGATCTACAAGGTCCCCACTGCCAAGGTGCATTTGAATTGGGGAGTGGGGCACGGGAATGTGGAGGTGGGGATTATGCAGGATTTACCCACTGATGTCATCTTGGGCAACAACTTGGGGGAGCTGACTTCAGCTTTTGTTCCCCAATCCACCGTTCAGGAAGCCTACCCTGTTGTGACCCGGCTGCAGGCCAGCACCACCGCTCCTTCTAACCACTCTGAGGCTCAGGTAAGTAATGTACCCCCCATACCCTCTGTCATGCTCTGGGCTGCTCCCCTAGAATTTGGTATCGAAGTGGCCCTAGACCCCTCCCTACAGGTATATAAGGACTGTATAGACAAGGACCAGGCTGGGCTAGAAGGGGAAAGGTACACAAGGGGCTACTTTACCACCATGCAGAGAAGGTAGTAGCCGGATCTATTCCTCTACCCATTAAACAGTTAATTGTTCCCCGTAAATATTGACTAGAATTATTACGCATCGCCCATGATATTCCCCTATCTGGGCACTTAGGGATCAGCTGCACTAAACACAGGCTGACCCAGAACTTCTTCTGGCCAGATATCTCACAGGATGTTAGATGATATTGTCAGACCTGTGATACCTGCCAGAGGGTAGGGAAAAGCGGAGACCGTTACAAAGCTCGGCTCTGTTCCCTACCCATAATTGAGGAACCCTTCAGTAGGGAGGGGGTGGATATAATAGGACCCCTAGCGAAGCCTGGTCCCTCCGGCAAGAAGTACATCTTGACCGTAGTGGATTATGCCACTAGATATCCAGAAGCGGTGGCTTTGACTAATGTACACGCAGAAATGGTGGTGGATGCCCTTATGCGAATATTCTCCCGCATGTGATTTCCCCGGGAGATTATTTAGGATAGGGGCACCCAGTTCACCACAGAAGTCACCCACCAGCCCTGGAAGGTATGCGGGGTACAGCCTATCCTTAACTCTGCTTACCACCCCCAGTCCAACGGTCTCTGTGAACGGTTTAACGGAACACTTAAACAGATGATCCGCACGTTCATAGACACTCAGAAGGACTGGGAACGATTTCTACCCCACTTACTTTTCACATATAGAAGTACCCCAAGAATCCACCAGGTTTTCTCCCTTCGAACTATTATTCGGGAGGAGAGTGAGGGGCCCCTTAGATTTAATTCGAGAACAGTGGGAGGGAGAAGGGACCACTAATGGTACCACTATTGTCCCATATGTACTGGAGTTTAGGGAATGCTTGGAGGCTCTAACCCAGACCGTGCGCGACAACCTCCAGATGGCCCAACAACGACAGCGCAGGTGGTACGATAAGGGGACCAGGGGCCGCAGCTTCCAGGTTGGGCAGAAGGTATTAATCCTACGGCTCATCCACAAGGACAAGCTGCAGGCCTCCTGTCAGGGCCCATACAAGTTGGTAGAACAGATATGTGATACCACCTATGTGATCGGCCCAGACACTGGCACGAGGGGCAAACGCTTGCTCCATGTAAATATGCTAAAGCCCTACCACGAGCGTACTGAAGAGGTGACTGCTATTTGCGCCCCAGCTACCGAGGACTTTGATAACTTGCCTCTCCCAGATCTCTTAGAGAAAGAGGGCCAGGACGGAGACCTGGGGGAGGTACAGTTAGGTGAGCGCTTAAGTCCCCAGGAGCGGGCACAAGTTCCAAACTTAATCAAGGAAAAAGGGGCCACATTCTCTAATCTTCCCGGGTATACCCCATTGGCCACCCACAAAGTAGAAACCCCAGGGCTGACCCCTCTTCGCCAACTTCCTTACCGCATACCAGAATCCGTAAAGGAGAACATGCGTAAGGAGATTTAAGAAATGTTACAGTTAGGGGTGATAGATCACTCCGACAGCTCCTGGGCCTCCCCAGTAGTTCTAGTACCGGGACGGGACGACTACTGTGTAGACTACTGGAGGCTCAATGACAATACTATCTCCGATGCCTACCCTATGCCCCAGATAGATGAGTTCCTGGACAAAATGGCCAGGGGCCAGTACCTCACCACCACAATAGATCTGTGTAAGGGGTACTGGCAAATTCCGCTAGCCTAAGACGCCATCCCCAAGTCGGCGTTTGTCACCCCGTTTGGCCTGTACCAGTTCAAGGTCATGCCATTCGGGAGGAAAAACGCCCCGGCTACCTTTCAGAGGATGGTGGATCGGCTACTGGATGGGTTTCAGGAGTACGCTTGCGCCTATCTAGACGATATAGCCATTTTCAGCCACTCCTGAACCGAACACCTGTCCCACATAGGAGCCGTACTAGACCGGATTAGGGAGGCAGGACTAACCCTGAAACCCAGTAAGTGCCACATAGGGATGGCAGAAGTTCAGTACCTAGGACACAGGGTAGGAAGCTTCCAACAGAAGCCAGAGCCCGCTAAAATAGAGGCAGTCACCAGGTGGCCAACCCGCTGCACCAAGACGCAAGTCCTCGCGTTCCTGGGTACCGCAGGGTACTATCGCAAGTTCGTGTCCAACTACAGTACCCTGGCCAAACCCCTCACCGACCTAACCCGTAAGAATTTCCCTAAGCTAGTAATATGGGCCCCAGAGTGTGAACAGGCATTCCAACAGCTCAAGACTGCGCTTGTTAACTCACCTGTATTGTCAAGTCGGAGCAGATGGTGGCGAGCACCCAGTAGCTTACCTCAGCAGAAAACTTTTACCCAGAGAAGTAAGCTACGCCGCCATTGAAAAGGAATGCCTGGCTGTGGTGTGGGCCCTCAAAAAGCTGCAACCATACTTGTATGGACAACCCTTCACATTACTCACAGATCACAACCCGTTGGTGTGGCTAAATAGGGTATCCGGGGACAATGCCAGGCTGCTATGCTGGAGTTTGGCGCTGCAGCCGTTTGACTTTACAATCCACTACCACCCTGGAGAGACTGTGTGATATATGGCTTATTCTAAGTTTTCGGTAGTTCACGAACAGTGACTTTCAACACTGTTCGTGAAACTAACAAAGTACTGAATGGAAGACCACACACAGGTCGTGTGGCTCCCATTAACAGATTGCAACAATGTATCTATCCTCGGTTGATTGATTTGCAGGTTTGTCGCCGTTTGGATACCGACCACGTGGCGGAGGCCATCTTGGATCCCCTTTTAGCCCAGCGGTGTTTGGTCGTCGTGTGCCTGGAACTAAAATCGGCTACTCCACGGCACAAACACAGCTGGACTTCCAGACCGTTCGGGACCACCGGTCTTTTGATATTTTCATTCAAACTATTCATTCGTGTGTTTTCTTATGAGTTCCTATTAAACTATGTTTCGTGTGGCATTCGGCTAATTGTGCTGGGATCTGAGCGGTAGTTTCCTGAAGTATGCGCTCAGATCCCAGCTATCTATATAGATGTTATTCAGTTAAATAGCACGAATAACGTGCAAGTTATACATTTTTAAGTAAAAAGACCGGTTCTGCTGTACAGAAGGATAATCCACTTAACAGGATATTCTTATGGGAGTATCCCTCTCGTACAGAAGTGCATGGTGGGAAAATGGTCCTGTATGTTCAGTTCCCCATCTAGTCCCCTACTGTACAACCCCTGTAAAGTGATTAAGGAAACCCCTTGCATGGGGAACCACATAAATACTGTGACCTGTGAATAAAACCTCAGTTGACTCCCAGCCTATGTGTCGTCTAGTTCTTGGGAAGGAAGGATTCTTATAACGCTACCGGGATTATTGGATATTGTACCTGTCTACTTGGATTATTATATGCTGTTCCTGTTTACCAGCGGAGATTCTGTGGATTATACTACCTCTCCGCTACAGTTACGGAAGGAAAGAGATGGAGAGGTATATTGGGATTGAACGGATAGACAGACAGATAGAGGGTTAGATATAGAGATATGTTTGGATAGTTACGGAAGGAAAGAGATGGATAGGTATATTGGGATTGGACAGATAGACAGACAGGTAAATAGAGTGTTAGATATAGAGAGGTAGATATTTGAAGGGTTTATCCGTAAATATAAATGATATTGTGTTAGAAGTTGGTAGCGGGCTGTAAGATTTTCTAGCCATGACATCCAGAATCCTGGAGCATGTTCTGCTCTGTATTGTAACTGTACAGATCAGGTATCTCCCTGTCTGCATTTATGCACTGGTAAGTGATAGGTGCTCAGGAATTCCTATCTCTTAAACGTAATATGATCTTGTTTTATGGGGGAAACCAATGCCTTGTGTAGTGGCCTTAGAAATGCTCCCTCTGGGAAGCAGTATTCATTGATTACTGTCAGCAAGGGGTGAATATCCCAGAAAGTTAATATTTGACATCTTCCTCCCCTGTCACCAGATATTCAGGTTTCGGTCAAACAGGTAAAGTATTGATTTGTACTGCAGTGTTTGGATGACTAATGGGAGGGAGGTTCAAGTGCAGAGCTTATTACAAGTCGGAGTCTGCATTGTGTTCCAGAGCAGTGACGGGGGCCACAGTGGCACAGTGAGTCCTACTAAAGTTGGACTACAGGATACTAAGAATAGGAGCCAGGGTGCGTTTACTACATTGCAGCTCAGAGCAGTGATATTCAGATACAGTGAGTCCTGCTCGAGTTGGGCTGCAGCAATCAGTTTGCTGTGTTGCAAGTAGAGTTCAGTGCCCGATAGTGACTCTTGCAGGGAGGTTCTTTTGGGGTTTTGGTGAGTTCAGTTAGATTTTGTGTTTATCTCACATATTTCCTGCTGTTTTTTTGTGCAGGAATAACATCTGCTGGGGGCTGTCCTGACACAGCCTGGGTTACTGTAGGTCAGGGGCCCACGTGGTTTTGGGAGGAGGGGAGTGGGAGTGGAAGCTGAGTGTGTGAAAGGGACACTAGCTGCAGAGTCTTTCAAAGCACACAGAGAGTTTGCTATAGAAGTTAGTGACCCAGAGACTTTCTGAACTAGGCTTTCAAAAGCGTGAAATCTTGTGAAACTAGAGCGAAGGATTGAACAAGATTCAGAGGCAAGGGTTGAGAGTGCAGACTTCCCTGGGAGGTTGGGGGGTAAGATGAAAGAGGAGGCATGGGATGAGGCGTTTGGCATACCCAGTGAGGAATCTATGGAGGAGCAGGAGACGACAGAGGCTGCGGAAAGCTACTCGGAATGGGAATCAGATTCCATGCAAGAAGAAGCACTGCTCTGGTACCTGGACAGATTGCGGTCTGTTCCCCAGGAGTACGAAACGAAGAGTGACTCTGAATGCGAGGAAATCCCAGCCGTGAGTCTGACATTTTATTTCAGTACACGGGCACACCATGACCACTTTTGTAGATCACATGCATAGCCTTACTTTGCTACACTCGGGGGGTGGGGGGAGAGGTAAAACATTTCTCTGCCTGCCTAACTGTTATGGGAGCCTCATCCCATTGTCACCAAAGGTGAAAAATGGGTTTACATCAGTAATTATGTCTTCTGCTCCTTGTCCTGCCAAATATAAAGCAAGTGGCTGGCTGAGATTCATGGTGCTTGTGGTTTGTTAAAACCCACAGGTCCATATCCACAGGTCCATGTTTTAGAAAATGAAATACTGTAATGTTATGCCACTGGAGTGAGACTGCTCAGTTTTGGCATGTGACGCTCGTCCAGCTGGGAAACACTTATCAGTCAGTAGTGGTGGTGCCAAGAGTTGGCAAAGCTGCCCTGGGGCCATGTGTATGCCAGGATAGATCTTGTCGGTCTCTCAAATCCCATCATCCTGGAGCAAGGTGTATGGTGTGGTTTGCTCAAACTGCCTTAGTTGTGACCTATTCATATTGTAGCCTTTATTTGTGTCCTAGACCAGGCTCCCCAAACTCCGGCCCTCCAGATCTGGGGAAGCCTGTTCTAGACCAGTGGCTACGGACTACCTGGCACTGTGTGCAATCTTTGTTTAAACTGGAACTATGGATTGTGCCCTTTTTGTCTCAGATGACACACTACTCGCATCGATCTTAATATCTCTAAATAGCAAGAGCTGCTGAGGGCTAGTCATAACATCAGGGGGACACGAGAAGGGGCAGGGAGGTTGGAGGTCTTACCATGTGATTTTTATTATAGGATTTAAAAAGCATCACACAAACAGAATGTATACAAGCAGCTCTATAACCATGCTGATACATCAAACCTAGACCAGATTTAAATAAATTCATATCAATTAATTAACCACAGCAGGATGGTGTAACAGTCACAGCAAGATTTAAAAGAAAGAAAACCACTTATTGTATAAGTTGCAATGCATGAATGAGGTCAGTCACAAATATGCAACAGTTTCAAGAACAATGTTCTCATTCTTCTTTCCAAGGATACATCCCAAGAAACAGACAATTCTGGTCTAATCCAAATGTAATCTTTTACCCAGCAATGACTGTGTCTTAATAAGTGCCATTCACTTCTGAAATGAGACGGGTGCTAATGTTCCCCTTGGACCAGTCAAGGGTACCCCATGGGAGACAAATACCAGAGCATTACCAAAATCGTTATCGATTATTTTTTTAGTTTTAATCTTTTTTTTTTTTTTATTGTCACAAATCATTTTATACATTTAGTATAATATAGACAGAATATTTGAAGTTACAAGGTTGGCGAATAGAAAATGAAATACTAAACAAAAACCACCTAAACTAAACAAAATCTGCTCTTTCTAAACCTCCTGTGTTTTTGGGCTTCGAGTTGGTGTAGGATTGGGAATAACTACCTTGAGGAGGTTTGTTTTGCGAAGTTAGAGTTATTTTCTTAATGCTCGCCATTGGTGATTTCTGTATAAAATGCGCATTGAAGGTTTTTTGTTGTTGTTTTTTGTGAACCCCTCTCCCCCCTCCCAATAAAGCTCATGCTGCTGGTATTGTACCACATAACACTTGGCCAATAATATACATTTCAGGGTCAGAAATAGCATCTTTATTTATGCATCTGGCCCGGCCCTTTGCAGCCATGCTGTAAACTGATATTTGGGCCATTCCCACTGTCTGGCATGATACGTGAAACGTTACAGTGAATGCCTAATTAAAAATATATTGTAAACACCGGAGTCTGATATGAAATTAAGATGGCTGCCCAGTGGACTTCTTTTGGTGACTTCAAGATAACAAAGCAGTTTGAATTTTTAATTCAAGTGCATTAAATGTATTTATTTTTTTCACTTGATGTTTAGTGCTTTATTTTTAGGTTGGTCCCCTAATACCCTAAGAATGTTAACTGATATTTAAAGGAAACACTTTACAATTGATTCTTGTGTAGTGTGTGTTTATATTTTATTTTGTATTTTTTTTTTATTCAGAGATGTACAACTTCGGGATTCTCTCCGTTGATTTCAGGGTAACCCCATTGAGATGAGGCACTCTAGTCCCTTAGTATAAATACATTAAATACTAGCATGGAGATTTAGGGAGATTCTAGCAAGTTCCCATTCTGTTGTCTACCAACTCATTTGTTACAGAGTGTCTTACGTGCCAACATTCCCTGGACGCCATGCCACGGTAGTAATGACATCACTCTGAATCTTTATGCCCATTGGGTTTTGTGTTTATAACCCCCCATTGTGATAACATATGTTTTAAATATGGTGAAACTAGTCTGATTTTATTTAATTTATTTAGTGGCAATTTCACCACATTGTAATCTAACCACTGATTCAGATGAATAGATTCCAATATGTTACAGTTATGCAGAACTTGTAGAACTTCGTAAAAATACCAGCGCCAAACATCGGTGACTGGGACACTTAGAATGCACTGAAGGTTAACACTTTTTGGCTCCTTAAACAGTAAACTGCGGGTAATTGCAATTTGCAAAGTAGCAAAGCTGAAACCATGATTGATGCGGAGGCTATTCCAATTCGGCTGTTCTGCAATTCACATCAATTCACAGTTTAGTGAATAATAGTAATAATGTAAACTATTTAAATATGCTCCAAATTTTGGGACAACTGGAGCTTCATTTTATGGACTAGATTTCCAAATAAGACAGCCACTATAAATCTGGGATTGCCGCTTTCACTTGTATTGTGATGGCTCTGCACGCATTTCCATACTGGGAAAAATAGAATAAATATGGTCCTTCGGTTTAACCTTCTCAATCCCTGCACTCCTTTAATAAACGTGTACATACACGCATCAGTGTTTGTAGCGTAAATATTAAGGATATAGATTTGATCAATTAGGTAAATCAAGATAAATTTGTCTGAGCATGATTCTTTATAACGTCTTGTTTCACATGAGCTATATTGATAGTTTCTCTTATTAACAGTTATATAAGAAGTGTAAAGCACTGATACATAAAATGTAAACAAGGAATCATTCATTTATATGTACAGACCAAATTGCAATCTAGTTTAACCCCTTAAGGACACATGACGGAAATATTCCATCATTATTCCCTTTTATTCCAGAAGTTGTCCTTAAGGGGTTAAATATTAGAATCATGTAACATTTAGAAATGAAACGTTAGTTATGTTATATTAGATGAGATATTTTCATGATTGGAACCTGTTTAAGTGACTGCGTTCCCAGCTGTTACCCTTCCATCAAATTCCAAATTCACCTTCTAAATAGTTATAGGTCATTGGAGACACCAGCGGACTAAGTATGGGATTTCTAAACTGATACTAGAATAACACATTTTAGACTAAAATAACCATTTAAAAAAAATTGCCGAAATTGTGCAGCAATCTTGGTCTGACATTCCAATTCTTTCAATTTCACTTTAGGAAATATATATATTTTTTTTCACTAAACATGGAATTTTAATTGAATTCAAAATAAATTTAAAATTTAATTCCAAAATAGCTCAATGGGAAAACTTGCATGAGTCAGCTGTGTGTTCGGTTCTGCCTTTACATTAAAAGTCTGAGTGTTGCGGTGATTTGATAGCCAAGTAGAAGAACCTTCACCAAATTAGCAAAATTGGGAAAAATAGAAGATTTAGTCAGTGGGTTATTCTTCAATCCATCAAATTACTGCACATTCATGAGCAGTGCGCAGTCTCTTACCTTTAAAACCATCAGAGCCATCTTATTGAATGGACAGCTGTAGGGACAAAGATAAGTGTCATCTAGGAAGTTAATGGTGTGTTTTTAAAAAAATTCAAAATCAGTTGAAAAATGATGTTCTCCCGTACAGTATGCAGCAGTTTATTTTTTATAAAACTGTTCTTTCTGGGAGATAATAAGAATGAAGAGAATCTTTGTTTGCGGCAGGGAGATACACTTTCTGTTGTTGACAAAGAAAATGATCACGGGAGCCAAATCTTTAGTTCAAATTGAGGCCACTTAGTAAGTCTTACACAAGAGTTGGTGTTTGTGGCAATGTGAATATTTCCAGACTCTCATTGCTGACAATTTAGGTACAGAGTTATATCCTGGCATTTAAGCACTGAATCTTGCTCTCTTCTCCAACCCATTTATCTATTCTGTCTATTGCTTTCAGTTTTTGATAAGAATTGACAAGATTTGCCTTCTGCCTGGTCCACAACTCTTTGTTAATTCTATCTGTGTAGCAATGTCTGTGTGTCAATTAAGCTATGTGTGTGTGTGTTTTTGCATACTGTCTCTATAGCTGTCTGTTTGTGTTTGTCTAATCTCCCAGTGAGGTCGTGTCTGTTTTTAAAAAAAAATGTTTATTTGTCTCCAATTCTATGTCCTCCGATCTATGTCCCCAAATTTCTACATATGTCTGTCAGATCTCTACATGTCAATTTGTGTATCCAGATTTCTGCTTGTGTGTCTGTTCTTTGCTGTCTGCGTGCCTATGTGTGTTCCTTCTTCTCGGTGTGCCTGTCTGTGTCTCTGGCTCTCTGCGCGCCTGTCTGTGTCTCTGGCTCTGTGTCTCTGGCTCTCTGCGCGCCTGTCTGTGTCTCTGGCTCTCTGCGCGCCTCTCTGTGTCTCTGGCTCTCTGCACGCCTGTCTGTGTCTCTGGCTCTCTGCGCGCCTGTTTGTATTGCCAGCTGTCCATTTGCCTGTCTGTGTCCCTATCTTATGTATTGCTGTTAGATTAGCTGCTGTTACCACAGAGCTGTACATTGTCAAATTCATTTAGCATATTCCTGTTTCATATTTACATTTTGTTTGTCTGTCATCAGCCTTTGTCACTATTTAAATATCCATCAACTGTATTTGCAGGTACTAAGTCCAACATATAAACAGAGAAACGAGGACTTTCGAAAACTTTTTAAACAGCTTCCAGACACAGAACGTCTGATTGTAGGTGAGTATTTACAGATTACAGTTAATACATACCTCCCCAGTGTCCCTATTTAGGAGGGGCATTCCCTAATTTGGGCCCAAATCCACAGCAATAATAATCCAAGTAATGTGTCTTTACAGATACATTTAAGAAACAATGTTCTTGTGCTGTTATATTTTAGTTTCATAAATTGTTATTAGTAAGTCACCTATAATGTCTCAGAACAGATCCCCCCCGACCTCAACCCCACGCAAAATTAAAATGACTTTCTTTTCCATTTGAAATATTGCCAGGTGTGTTAATATATAAGAACATACATGCTTTACATTGCAGGGGGGAAATGTAGTTTAAGAGTGAAAATCTTTCAAATTAGAGCAGCCTTCCACAAAATGTGGGCCTGGAAACGTAACTTTAGGTTAACGGACGTTATTGTTACTGTTGCACTAGTAAAATGTTCAGCAAAGATATATATCACACTTTAATAAGTTTGGATTTTCCCTCTGCTGAAAGCTTAGTTTGGTGCAACGTTGGGTATGATATCCCACAATGCCTTGCATGGCATCCCACCATTTCTGGGGTCCATGCATAATGACACCAACTAACATCGTTCTGTGTTCAAAACTCTAAATCTAGTCTGCTAGTCGATTGCCACTATATTGGACCACTAGCTGTTTGTCAATAGAATTCCCATGAACCATTTGTTTTCTGTTGACAAAAAAATCATTAGTGGTTCTCCAAAAACTGGATTTAAAAAATAATCTTTTTTTTTTTTAAATACCCCGTTATTGTAGAATAACATGTCCTATTCAGGTTTCTGGAACTTCGTATATAAAAACATTCTATTGGCATGACTCTTATCTCATCCCAGTGTGCCGGCAGTGGCCCCCGTTATCTCCATTCTTTGTCATGTGACTCTGATCACGTGATCCTGCCACTCGTATCATGTGATCTCACATTTGTTCTCTTGTGTCTTTGCAGATTACTCCTGTGCTTTGCAAAGAGATATCTTGCTGCAGGGCCGTCTGTACCTATCGGAGAACTGGATATGTTTTTACAGCAACATTTTCCGCTGGGAGACCCTGGTGCGTAAGTATAGCATTTAATCTATACATTTACTGGCGATTGTGACAGCATAATGTATAGATTGATTTATATTGCCCAAATCAGGCCGTGTATTCCATAAATGATGGGCTCATTCGCTTTAGCAGGACTTTCTGCAGGCTTAGAGTAGGCCTTTTTCAGTGTTTATTATATGCCTGCATCTGCCATTCTAATGCTGTACATTATGTTTTACAGCTGACGGTGCGTTTGAAAGATATCTGCTCGATGACCAAGGAAAAAACAGCAAGGCTCATACCCAATGCCATCCAGCTCTGCACGGATACCGAGAAGGTATGTTATCACACCACGTTATGTGCTGCAGCACGTTGTACCCATAGAGGTCTAAGAAGGATGAAATGATCATCTGGGCTTTCTGCATTGCTTATGCAGTTCGGACCGGAATGCCATTTCAGTTTTGGACTGTCTTTTTGGTGAGATCAGTATGAAATGCATGTGGTATAGATTCCCTCCATAATGGCACAAACAGCCTGTGCTCAATTCATGTCTGAGCGAGAACCATCCGAACTGCAAGATATTAATGATTTTAACGTAACAATCTCTGACACTGGAGTGTATTCTCTAAATGGTGAACTGACTAAAATACCCAAACTGTGATTAGACCACAGTTGAAGTTTTTCAAATAAACTGGTTTTGACCAAATTTTGTAATGTACTACAATACACTGTTTAGTGGATAAACCCTTCTGTTTTCTTGTTTTGAAAATGCCATTAATTCTCTCGCTCTCTTTGGGTTCCCAGCACTTTTTCACCTCATTTGGGGCAAGAGATCGCACATACATGATGATGTTCAGACTGTGGCAGAATGCTCTGCTTGACAAGGTATGTCATTCATTATGTACATTCCACCATCCTACTGCATCCCGTGCATCTCCATGTCTTCTGAAATCTCCCTTTTAATTTCCCCTGCGCAGCCGCTCTGTCCCAAGGAGCTTTGGCATTTCGTTCACCAATGTTACGGAAATGAGCTAGGACTCACAAGCGATGACGAAGATTACGTCCCCCCTGACGATGACTTTAATACTATGGGGTGAGTGTGTATGCAGATCGCTGAGTAACAAATTTTGATGATGTTTGAGGTTATTTTACCTCTTCGTTCTTGCTCCTTGTTCAGAACTTGGCAAGACATTCCAAATTACATCTTAGAGGTGAAATATATTTATGGCTAGCGTTTGTTTCCTGTTAATGGATTATATGTGGGAAAGGGAGTGGTGCAGTTTTACATTAACAATTTTGTTTTTAGTTCTTTAAATTGAGGTAAAAATGAAAGGGGGAAAAAAAAAACGAATGGGGAAAATTTCTGGTCTTTTCTCGTTTTCTCCCCTGCCTTGAGCAGCCGAGCTTCCTATGAATCAGATTGTATGATCCCTGATTCCCACACTGCCCTCTTTGAGTTTGGAGAGACTCTCGTCCTGTATGAAATCGATAGCACTGGTTACATTTTGTCACTGAGCTTTAATTTTTGAGTGACAGGTGCATTTGGATGGTATGCAAACCATTCCAAACTTGTTAGTGATGAGTAATGTGTTCCTTCTTGACCTCGGTGTAGCCTGGTTATATCATATTTTATTATATCTGGATAAATAAAATGTACCATGTTACTGACTTTTTTTGTATTTTTAGACGTTTTTAGATTGTTATTGTTTAGGTTGCAGAAATTCTCATAACTGTTAGACAGATGGGCACATGTGGTCCTAGAATTGGCGGTTTATTTGGATCGCCTCTCCTTTCAGGTACTGCGAAGAAATTCCGGTTGAGGATGTGGAAGTCAATGATAATTCTACAAAAAGCACCAATGACATGAAACACGAAACCAACTCCAACTTGCAGGAGCCTTCATTAACCAGTAGCAATGTCACGTCCACTACCAGTAGCGAGGCGCCCCCTGTAAGTGCACCTTTTCTCCATTCCTAGGTTATAAGTAGAGGCTGCTTGTATGCAGCATTAGGAGTGTAATGGCAACCCGGATTCATTGCATGTAATACATTGAAAGTGCCATAATCTGCTCTGTTGGCACCAGTTATAGCAATTATTAGCTCATTTGATTTATATTCCGTATGTAAATTACTTGTCAAGTATTTACAATTTTGTAATTGTAAAGCACTGCGGTATATGTTGGCTCAATAATAATACTGATACTATGTTAAAGGCTCGTCTGTATTGATCTGTCTTGCAGCAGTTTGATGGGACTATGCTGGACGACATAGATGCTTCATTAGAAAGGGAGATGCTAATTGCAAATTTCGAGGAGCACAAAGTGGAACTTCTTCCCCCCGTCCTGTCTCCGTCCTTGGACTTTAATGATAATGAAGATCTTCCCACGGAGCTCAGCGACTCATCAGACACCCATGATGAAGGTGAGGAGTTTCTGTCAAACAATGTTACCTGCTGGAATAGTGACCTTGCTCCTACACAGAAATTAAAGTCCACTCTCAAATTGGCCCAGTGGCAGCAGATGTGCATTAGCTGCTAGGTTTAAAGCTTATCGTGGAGGCAGTATTCTGTACTCTAACCTCTACAATGAACTGTCCTATTCATGGTGCTTAGAGTGTCCCTTTAAAAGTAACAGAAAATTGTAGCCAGTAAAATAGCTGCATATGATCTTTGATAGGAACATACAAAACACAGTGGCTTTAAAACCTTATTATTCTTGCAGTGTTGTCTGTAAAACCTAGAACCTGGGTCTATAGACAATGGGTGATTAATACATTGTGATACATTGAACAGAAAGATGTATACAGCTTGTCTTCTGTCACAGGTGAAGTACAAGCATTCTATGAGGACTTGAACGGACGTCAGTACGTCAACGAGGTTTTCAGTTTCAACGTGGACAAGCTGTTCAGCCTGCTGTTTACAGAGTCTCCGTTCCTGAGAGACTTCATGGAGCAGCGTCGATTCTCGGGTGAGACACCTTTCGGGGGACCATCCTAGTGATGATAACATTCTTCAGATTCCAATCAGTGTGTTCTCCATCCTTTGATCCTTCTCAGCTGTCTTCTCTTTTTTATCATTTTTTGGTTAATACATATTGTCTCCTCGCTGCATGAAGTAGTTGACTGCAATAGTTTGCAGGATCTCACATTTTTTTGTTTTTGATGTCAGAAGTAATATTTCACCCGTGGAAGAAGGAGGAAAATGGAAATCAGACAAGAGTTATACTCTATACCATTGCACTCACAAACCCATTGGCGCCCAAATCTGCTACAGTCACGGAGACACAGGTGAGTAATAAGCATCTACAGAGCTGCCCATCACCTGCTTCCCGATACAGCTTAGACTAGTGATTTCTCCATTCTAAATTTAGGGACACCAACACTGCATAATTTAAGGGTTTTACTAGTGGAGATATTGGTAATATATGGACGTTCGTGAAACACGATCTTAGAACAGTCTTTGTCTCCTCTTTCCTAAATATTCTGGCTAGTGAAGGAAAGAGGGTCTGTTACATTAAAACTCTTGTATCTGGGTTTTCAAACTCACTCTTGTATCTGGGTTTTTAGACGTTGTACAAGGCAAGTCAGGAGAGTGAATGTTACGTTATAGATGCTGAAGTGCTGACCCACGACATTCCTTATCACGATTACTTCTACACAATCAACCGCTACACTCTGACGCGAGTCGCAAGAAACAAAAGTCGGCTAAGGTACAATCAGCTTTTCAAAGGCAGGAAATACCTTTGTAATAAGACATTTGGTGCATGTATTCCCTAGCTCCCTAAAACATTCATCATATTTCTAAATATGTTTTTCTGGTTCTTCAGTTGCCTCAACACCCAGCCTTTCCTGGTGCTGACAGTATAGTTGTGATTGATGATGAGACTCGGTGGAGGAGCTAGATCTAACCCCTTCAAATTAAAATGAATCCTTGTAGTATATCGGAAGAAGCTGGTGGTCTGTGTGCCCTATTTTATTTGTTTTACTTTACACAGCACTGGGTCAAAGACAGGGCACCAGGACTGAAATTAACATGCTGGCTTCCTCTCTCTGATCCAGTTGTGGTACAGACCTCTAGTTTCCTCTGGAAGACCTCACTTCCCTGGCTTCCTACATATCTTTGCAAGATTATTTATACATTTCACTTACCCTTCTGTTTGCATTACAGGATCTCAACAGAGCTTCGTTATCGGAAGCAGCCTTGGGGACTCGTGAAAGCCTTCATAGAGAAAAACTTTTGGAGTGGACTGGATGAATATTTTCATCACTTGGGTTAGTTCTTGTTCTTGTTTTTTTTAAGTACACATTGTCTCAAGGAAACTTTGGAAATTATGTTAAAACCCCACGAAGTAAAAAGGAGGGCTTCCTATTCTGGTTACGGCCTGAGGAGCCCTCGGGCAAATTATCTTGCCCTTTATAAAAGCATAATCAACTCTTAATATTTCACTGCCTTTTTTGCCATTTGTGTCAGGATATCGATAAGACCATTAAATTGAAAATGTAATTTACTGTAACCCATGCCTTGAGACTAGTATTCACATAGTTCACAGAGCGTAAGACTCAGCATGGGTTTACATTTGTTGTAGTTAGCCAGATGTATCGCTACGGTGAGATGTTCTGTTACATATTTCGTCCCATCCACCACTGATTAACTTGGCTCCAGAAACAACTTGTTGTAAATCAAAATTGTAAGATGGCGGACCAGTGCAAAAATATTTTGGATCTCTGCTATGCTCTCTTGTGGTCCTTGTGTGCAATTTAGTGACATGATGCTGGTATGTCACACAATGTCATCTCACTCTGTAACCAGAAAGTCACGGGAGTTGGATGACAGGACAGAGCTGAAAGCAGGAAGAGGCAGCAAACTCTGCTCTGTCATCTTTATCTAAACCTAAGAAGAAAATGAAAATACTACTATAATAATTTTACATATGTCTTCAGTCCCTGTCTGCTGACAAGTCCTCGAAACCAATGCTGATAATCGGTCCCTCACCTAACTAGCAATTCATAAGCCACATGTGTTATAAACATGTCTTTCTTAAGTGGTGTAAAATATGGTTATAACTTTTTCATTTTGTCTATTTCTGGTAATCAAAGGTTCCGTTCTGATTGCAAAGTCAGGATGCTCAGAAAGCAGAATTTCAGGGTAACCTCACATGAGGTCTCGTTGATCAGTTAATTGCTATGTCCTCTGCTGTAATATTTGCCACTGGTGACCACTGAAAGGTGATCCTCGAAATCTGCTCTGCTTGAGTGATGGAACTTTTTCAAAATTTTTTTTTCCCCTCGATTGTTTACAGATGGGATCTACATCTGGCTCGATAACATTCTTTCATGCTGTTGGCAACAACAAATAGTTCATCTTGTTATGTGAGATGGAAAAAAAAACACTCTTGGGGGATATGATTGCATGCTTCACAAAGTATTCACTTGTTTTTTAGATATTTTACAAATACAATTTTGCAGGAATTCTGTGAAAAGCTTCTTATCCAAGTCTAGTGACTGCTGTAAAAATAAGGTTAACCATAGGACAGATCAGAATACATACTGTACTATGGATTGCCAAGGAAAGCAGGAATATTTTTGTAGATGGTGTTAATATATGTACTGTGTGGACAGTTATTAGATATGACTATCGAATGCTGGTTATGACCTGCATTTCCCCCCCCCCCCCTCCGAACATCCAGAATTCTTAATGAAATGGACTTGGCCAGAACCTGGAAACATTGCTCCGGGATCTTCATCCACGCTGAATATTTTTCAGCCACAGATTGATACAGAGATCCTCCGATTTTACCTCTTCTCAAGAGGGCCTCTAAAGGATTGAGATCCCTGACTGTGCCACCATCGGAAAAGGCTGCAGTCCGTGTCACGATGATCTTTGTCAAATGTTGCATTATACTTTCAGGAGTGTCTGCTGATGTGTGTCCTGAAAAGAATGCATGCAATCAGAAGCAATGTTCAAGTATGCAGTATCGTTTATATGATGGACATTTTGGTATTAAAAGGGGCATTCCAAGGAACCCTAAGTGTGGTATTTATTGTTCAAATAGTCAATGGCATCATCCCCCTGGTTTTGTATCAAAGGGTTTGGGAGAGGTCAGACTTGTTTGGATCGCTAGTCTTCCCAATTCTTGATTGAACATTAAACAATGTTTTGCATGCTTTGCACAGGATCTCCGGTTTGCATTTCTGAGCTGATGTCCTTGTAAACTGGCCACTAATTGTATATTTTTCTGGCTCTCGGTTCTAAAGGTTCCATTTATGGTTCTGTTTTTACAGAGAATGATCTCACTAAAGCAGAGACAGCATATCTATCTGACCTTCACCGACAGTCCCCTAAAGAAAAGAGCAACAAGATGGCATCTGCTCGTCGAAGGAAGCGACCTCACGTGCACATGCGAATTCCCCATCTACAGGATGTCTTGAGTCCAGTAACCACCCCCACCGACGAGGAGAGGCAACATCGCATCAGACACGTGGCAGGTGAGATATTTTGCACTATAGATGTGCCACCAGCAAACATTAAATCGTAAATATTTCGAATTTCAGCATTCGGATCCAAACCTCTTGAACGGCCGTTTAAATAGATGCTCTGTTAAGGATCTTGTGGTATAAATGCAACCGACCTTTAATCCTAGGGTTTTATATGCCCTAATGCAGCTGTACACCAGGCAGCTGCCTTCAAAGTCACAGCCTCTTATTAAAGGGAAAAAAAAGTAGTATAATGCTCTGTTCGGATACTTAGGGGGAGGGGTGGTGTGTCCAAGATGGCTGTCTGGAGGCCCAACTGGGGAACTGGACTTTGCTCCTTTAGTTGGGTATCGTGGTGGGATCACAATAAATCTTGGGCTTGTTTTCAGCTGCTTTTATATCAAATTTTCTTTTGGGACTCAATCCCAAGGTGTTTTGGGGACCTAGCAATGCCCATAAAAGTCACCGGCATATAGGAAAAACTTGTGCTTAATAATTAGCAAATCTATGTGTATGGCATTTTAATGGTTGTAATGACCTACAAATCTCCTGCCACCTTCCCCGCACAGATGGATCCATACTGTTTATTTAAATCTAACTCAGATTTTTAGTCCAGTGGATCGATAGTACAGTTTAATCATTTTAATGCTCTCTTTTATGCATGCTTTGTGTAATGAATTTATAGAGCCATAAATCATTTTTAAAGCAGAATCCGGTTTCCTTTGAAGTGTCTGCTTTGGAATTCTGACATTATTGATGGCCAGTTGCAAAACTCTGGAACAGTGTGTTCCGGGGGCAAGAATTTTATTTTGAGCTATCCTACTTCTCTGTCAGTGCGTTTAAAGGGATCGTCTAAGCACTATAATCACTACATAGCATTACAGTTAATATTTGTCTAACGCTTACTCTGTCCCTGTGTTACAAAAATATCTCTGTATACTTTTTATATAATCGTTATTGTATTGCACGGCAGAACATTTGTGAGTGGATTATAAATATATTAAATTAGAATACATTTTAACTAACTTCCAAGTATGAATATAAGTAAGTAATTGGTATATGTGCTACTGTGGAACATAGTGACTGAAAAATGTAAATGAAAATGTTCAAACCATCACTTAACAAGATATACAGAGTTAAAAAAATATATTACTGTTTATTTTTAACGTGAGTTTAGACACTCAAACAGTTCAAATTTCTGAATATATTTGCAATTACAAAATGTACATCTCAAGGTTTGATTGATAAATGGCTAATCATTTTTATTGACTAACACGGTTTAAAAAGACATGTATTTATTTACTCCATTTAGATACATTTTTTTGCACGTTTCAAAATCAAAAATTTCACCTTCTTGTAATCGTTTTATCAGGAATTGTCTCGGAACACAGTTGGTCTGTTTCTATGGAAACTGTATATTAAAGCAGGTTTTTTTTTTGTTTTGTTTTTTTTAAATGTCCTTAGGATCCACCCAGACAAGACATCTTCCCGAGGAAAAACACAGCCATCTCCAGAGCATTTCAAAACTCCTGCTGGTCATTAGCTGTGTGTAAGTTACTGGGCTCAGAAAATAACCAAATGCTTCCACCCAGAGTTGGTTAAATCTGCATGCGCGCTATCTCAGGATAGTTTTAAAAATTCAATAATTGGATCTGAAGCAGTCTATAAAAGGGGACTAGTGTAAATTGAAAACATGTAGTCATTGCTCTCAACTACTCCCCTGCCACCTGGTGGCTATTTGCGGTACTGTACAATAAAATGCTCCTAAACTTAGTTCAAATTATTATTATTATTTATAAAGCACCAACAAATTCCATAGCGCTGTACAGTGGGTGGATTAACTGACATGTATTTGTAACCATATGAGTTGGACACACAGGAACAGAGGGGATTGAGGGCCCTGCTCAATAAACTTACATTCTAGAGGGAGTGGGGTAAAGGGACACAAAGGGTAATGAAGCACTCACCGCTTATTTACTATTATATGTGCATATAGATAAGGGGAAGGCAACCTTGTGAACTGCATTTCCGTTGATGCCTTGCTAGCATTATGGGAGATGTAGGCCATAATATTTAAAATGAAATAAGTTGCCTACCCGTGTAATGCTAGACTTAGAAAACAGAGTTTATAGATGATGATGCTTACCTTACCTGCTACTATTTAATTTGAGCTCTGGCCACAGATTATTCTTGGCATTATTTAAAGATATTGCTATAGCTGTACCAAAAAAAAAAAAAAGTAATTAGTGATTGGATTTGTATATTGGTGCTCAATGGGCTCTCTAGTCTATTCTGATTATTTAGCAGGCAAGTCTTTCCATTTTTACAACTGATTCTCTGCTGGGGAGCTGTTCCATGCATCTACAGTTTAGTTTTGTCTCCCATATTAAATACAGCATTCTTATATTAACTTATCTATTGTATTCACTAAAACCCAACCACCTTCCGATTGTAACCACTGACACCTCCCTCTCCCTGCAGTCTGATTCTCTGGGTGTTTAAATCCAGAATACAACATTCTTATATTAACTTATCTGTTGTATTCACTAAAACCCAACCACCTTCCGATTGTAACCACTGACACCTCCCTCTCCTTGCAGTCTGATTCTCCTAGTGTTGCTCAATGTGATGCTGTTCTACAAGCTGTGGATGTTGGAATACAGCACTCAGGCAATGACAACGTGGCAAGGGTTAAGATTACCGGAAAGGTAAGTGCACTCTGTAGAATGTCTCTGGCCAGTGCTTGCTTACTGTCATGGGATCCTAATCGCAGCCTCTTTATCTTCAAATAGCCGTTTACCACAGTCACAAGCCGAATGGACCCAACTGTTAGAATCGCAGCAAAAGCACCATGACACGGAGATGCAGAAATGGAGGCAAATCATAAAGTCCTCTGTTATGTTATTAGACCAGGTATAGTACAGATTTAAGAATACACAGAACTGAGTGTTATTCTGTTTGCGATCCAGCAGTGTAACGGTTAAGAATATGAATATTTTGAAGTAACCACACCTTGCAGAATTCTTTGAGTTCTTTTTGCGCCAATGCAAACACAGGGTGTAGTTAGATTCCATAACTATCTCACGCTGGACCGCACACACAAATGCGAAAAAGAGAATACTGCCTGAAAGCCCTGGCCGGCCCTGTAACATAACAATTACATTTAAAGGAATTGAATTACCTTTCACACCTATAACTACTAACTCAAAATGCTTAAAGGGCCACTTCAAACACCATAACCACTACATTGTGTTACATAATTACAAGTTAATGCACTATTCAAACTCATTGCATTAATGAAGGTTATAGTATTTATTACACAGCCCATCCATTTGTTATTGTTGAGGAGACAATGAGGGTTTTCACTTCTTCATTATCTCTACCAATGCATCCAAGTTTGGACAGCAATAATTGGAAGTAGTTGCTGGACTAAGCCTCCCCCAGCTCACAGCCTGTCACAGCAACCCAAATCTAGAGAGTGTGTTTTTTGCTGGGTAGTTGATCAGTGTAAAATAAATAGGGCACAGCTTTCTTTATAATGGCACATTGCCCTAGATATGCCTAGTGATTGAGTTATTAAGCTGTCCTCATTTTCTTTTCCCTGAGCATCAAAAGAAATGTTTCCTTATCTCCTTTATTGCTATTTTTACTGGAATATTATATTCTAAAACTATAGATATTTATTTTCAAAGATAAGACAAGTAGCAGAAAATGTGTTACAATACTAGACTGTATCAGTCACATACAAACATTTTGTGTTTAAAGGGGCACTATATCAATACGAATACAAACCTGTATTTATAACCCTTTTGTGTACCTGTCCCTATTTAGAAACAGGTCATCCCGCCCCGATATTTTCCATATACATTTTTTTTTTTAAATCATTATTTTCCTCCCCTTTTTCATTCTGTGCTGCTTACCTTGTCATCTTGTCCCACAACATATCATGGTGATAGCTCCATTTCCCAACTCCTCCCTGCCAGAAAAGAGAGGCTCCAGTCTGGGCTGTTCGAGCTGCCACTTTCCACTCATCAGTATTTTTTGAACGCCAAAAACTTAATATTTGCGGATTTGTTAGCTTGTGTTTTTGCTTTTTTTCGGTTTTATTTTTGTTGTCTGTTTTACATTGTAGTTTTTATATATTTTCCCTTTGCAGATGAAAGATTCTCTAATAAATCTTCAAAACGGAATAATTTCTCGAGACTTTGCTTCGGATGCAGAGGAGAAACCATACCAATGAGACTTCGGGGCAGACAACGGGGATAATAGTGTGCAATATATGTACAGAGAAGATTTATATGTAGATACATATAAATATGTATACTATGAATACACATTTATATTATATAATTCTAAAAGACTGAGCTACTCTAGACAGGTATGATGTGCTGCCTGCGATGGGACCCTTTGAACGTACTATCAAACGGTATTTTGGACTCTGCATTTACGTTCTTGTGAAAGATTAGCGCAGCTCTTCTTTGGAGCAAGGATCTTTCTCAATCCAGTGTGTAAATCTACGCCATTGCTCTACCTCCGACATCCGCAAACCTCGTGTATGTCAGCCTGACGCTGCCCATGCACCAGAACGGTGCTCACTGAGGCCCCCAGGTGGAAAGGTGCTGAGGAGACAAACAGAGGCACCACAGAACTATGAGTACGAAAGGAGAAGGGAGCTCTGCACAAAAGCTCCCAGCGGATATATTTTATCAGACACTATTAGACTAATCCGTGAAGACTCTACTGCCGCCAAGCACTTGTCTGACCCACCTTGACAGTGCAACATCTGAGAAGTGTCCTGTCTCCTAGATGGAGCAATATGTGGATAATGCTAGTTTTTATAATATTTTTTTTTTTTCTCTTGAGTAACTTAAAGCTTGAAAATTAAGGGGTATGGGTATTTGTTTTATACTTTCAAAAAGTATGAAATTCCTATTGAAACATGATACAGGTTTTGTCAGCTGCCACTCTCCACTAGGCTGCTGATGTAGAGACGGTGGACCGTCTGTGGGAGTTCCTTTCAAAACATTGTTTGGCATGAACCATCTGCTGTCTTTGTATCTCATTTAGGTGGTTCATCCAAAATACAATGTGTTTAACGCGTGGGATACATTGAGAGCCACTGCTTCAGAACATTTCAGATGACTGTTTGTCAAACTATGAATGTGTCTGGTTAGGAAAAGGCTTGAATTTCTAAATGATTGCTGCTAAGACTCTGGGGGAAATCTCCAGATAATGACCTATGTATTTGCAGACATGAAAAGAGGTCTATTCATCATCTCAATTGCTTTTTCTGGCCCTTCCTTTTCTTCTGTTACTGTAGCTTGTCTATAAATGGTGGGTGTTGGAGAAAGGATGACTCCAACCACACCTTTGGAAAGGGCTTTCTGTCGACCTGCAGGATCTGGTCGATTCTGCCATAAATCTGCTTAAAGGTTACTTCTGCTATAGAGTTGGATGGACGTGTAGCTGTACAGTGTGGAACACACTGTTTCTTGGCAATTATGTGCTTTTTGTGATGAAGATTCACCTGACATGCCTGCTGTATGAAGTGTCTGTGCTCATTCTTTGTCAAGAATAGTGCGGTCCCCTTGTGGTCTTGACCAGCAATTGCTAACCTTGGCTCCTCAAAGTTTGTAAACTACAATCACCATGATGCTCAGGTAGCCACCACAGTAATGCCAGAACAACAAAAATGAAGCGCATTCATAGGCAACTTCTACAGGTCTTCATTTGGATAGCTATGGTTTACAGGTGGCTGAGCACCATGGGAGTTGTAGTTCAAAGACAAGTTTAGCCTTTGCTGATCTTGAGGGTCCTTAAGATTGTCCACATTTGATGTCTCTACATGCATTTTTAACGTCATTAATTATCAGGGTTATGAAACAAATGGAGTATGATTTACTAAATTATGTTATCCCAAAAGGACTCTCTGCTGTGCCCGTATAGTTGCTTTTTCCTGTAAAGAGTGCTGTTAGTGTCCCTATTTTAGCAGCATTGGCAACAGCCTGTTCGATAGATAATACTACAAGTATGTTGAGCAGGCGATAAGGGTAATATTGAAGTTTGTATTTGAACTCGGCTCTGTAGCTTTTCCAAAGATTGATGGGTGTGCGTGATATGACATTATATGTCTTTGTTTGCGTTTTGTTTTAATTCTCTTGGCTGCATAGCAGCTTTTGAAATAAGGACAAATGTAGAGTGAGTGAGTGAGTGCTTTACGCTTTCTCCAGTGACTGTTGTAATACGAAGTGTATCACTAAGTGATGACGTAATTTGAAGACTGACATTTGGGCAGCAGGAATTGCCAAGGATCAGTCTCGTGTTTTGACAGAGATGCTGAGCACTATCTGACAAAGACAAAGTTAACTCTTAAGGTTATTGTATTTATTATTATTATTTATTTGAACATAGTTCTGTGAACCGTCAACATTTCACAATTTTCCTATTCACCTGTTGATACCAAGGGAGCAAAATAGTCCCCTGTTCGTGTCTTTATTTAAGGCTTGGGTTTTGAGATAGATCACAATAATAATTTTTTTTTTCTCTTGGGGTGGGGGGTGGGGACAGACAAATCCAGACACCCCAAAAAATCTATAGGGAACTTAATGGATGAGGAGGCAAACCAAACACGTTAAGGAAATTTACATAAATAAAAAACATTAAAGGGAATCCATCATCTGAAAAACTGCTTTTGCGTTTTTTGTACTTTTTTGTGACTTTTTTTTCCCTTTGTTAGTGGTGAAATTTAGCTTTATCCATTCAGATTCACAAATTGAATCACATACTTTGCCAGCTGTGCTTTTCATTGTGCTTTTTGATTCCTGTTGCTGCTTTTTGTGACAATATAGTTTTTCAGATCTACGATTCCGCAAAGTGAATCATGTTAAAATTCGGGCAAAGCAGGGGAATTGTAGGTAGAAAGCTATAATTATCTCATATCCCAACCAGGCATTCTCCCTGCTACAATTCTAATTGGTGATAAGGTGATATATATATTGCAAAAAAGGAATTTAAAAGCAGTGGAGTTTATTTAATAAGCTGGGACAAAAACACAAGTGATAAGTGATTTTCAGATCAAATGAACCAAACTTTTACGTTCTCCAATATTTATTACTTTGACTTGAACTCTACAATTCCTATTTAAATACTGAGGAGCCGAATTATGAGTAAATATTTACATGAAGGAAAAACTTGTTTAAATGCATTGACTCTACCATCCTCACACAGCACTGCTTAAAAATGAACCCACATTAGAAACAATTATTTACCTATATTGCTGTTGGGTCATGTAAAAAAAAAAAAAAAAAAATCATAGCTTCAAAGTGCCCCTATTTAAGACGGACAGTTCCCAATTGGTGTCCCACTTTTCTAGGAGCTCTGTATTTTGGGTGTCTGAGTGTATCACAGAGCTTCACAGCAATAATACTCCCAGTAATGTCTTTAACCCCTTAAGGACACACGATATGTGTGACATGTCATGATTCCCTTTTATTCCAGAAGTTTGGTCATTAAGGGGTTAAACTACAATAAATTTGTTTTAGATACTTTGATCTTGTTATAAATTAAATGTATCAGTAGGTCATGAGGTCACACAAAATGTCCTGGAATAGCCCGACCTCCTAAAAATGAAAATATAAATTTTTGGCCATTTAAAATATTGGCAGTTGTACAAAGTTGACGGACTTACAGATTTGCTCATAATTCCAGTAGCGCAAAATATTCTGTTTAGTAGAGGACTATATAGCGAGGGAATCTGGGCATTGAATAGTATAATATATCACATAAATGAACAATAAAAAGGATTCACATAAATCAGGGTGTTTCTAGACACCCACCGTCCTTAAAGAAATGACTAAAGAATATTAGCGTATTTTAATATTGTTAAATAATGGTGTTTACAGCCACATAAGATAATTACGCAATATTTTTATGTAATGGGTCCTTTGTAATGGGTGTATTTAATTTTTTCAAATACACCTGTTGACATATTGTTTTTTATTTTATTTTATAAAACCATTTAATTTCAAATGACTTAAATGTTACGTATCTCTACTTTTGTACAATAGGAGAACTCAGCTGTTTCATATTCATGTGATCAACTCACTTGGGCAAAATAAGTCATGCAAACATACTTTTTAGAGCGGAACATTTTCATAATTCCAGTTTTGTTTCTAGATCTGTTATATTGTGTTTATTTTTTATTTTTTTTAAGATTTTGACTATTGAAATAGAAGTACCGTATATAAACTATACAAGCATGTTTCCGGCTGTTTGCCTGTTCCTGTACTTTAGTGTATGGTCATGTACTGGCAAACCACCTAAATGAGATGAAGAGTTGTATTACCTTGCCCTGCCGAAATTCTGTAGAGAAGCATAAACTACTATTTTAGGGTAAATGTGATAATTTTATTACTTTTGCACTTAGTTCTTTTGCATTTTGCACTTAATGCATCAGACATCAATTGTATGATATTTGCGCAAAACAAGATTTTGACTATGCAAGTAATAGGTTTTTAGAATTAATTTTATTGCATGCACCCTCAATACCCCTTCCAAAAGAAAAAAAAAATTGAAAACTAAAGGCTGCAATAAGAAATGTCTTGATGAATGACCACAACAGAATTCTGCATGAATATTGCAGCTTACAAATCAGATTTAATTCAGTGGCCGTGATGCGTTAATATTTCAAAGTGTTGAGTAAACCGTGAGCGTTGAATGTAATTACATTTATTTTCATTTATCAAGCCCCAAAGAATTCAGTTTTCGAGATGGTGTTTGGCTTCCCACTAAATATTAATGGATGGCTGATTTGCCCTGTTTAGAGGTTTCTCACTTTTGTAGGGACTTTGCAGGCTGGAAGGTGCCCCTGTGTATTTATTTTTTTTCAGTATTGCATGTGCACAAAATACAAATATTTGGAAACTTAAAGTGGAGCAATGACCATGGAAACCAATGGAATCTAACTGCTGACTGCTCTACTTCTAGGACGTTGCTCCAGATTTATGAATATAAAAAAAATAATTCAGGCACTCCAACGAATTCCAAAGCCACGGCAATTTTATTAGAACCAGGAATCAAAAGGCAACGTTTCGACCCCTTAGGGCCTTTGTCAAGCGGTTGAAACGTTGCCTTTTGGTTCCTGGTTCTAATAAAATTGCCGTGGCTTTGGAATTCGTTGGAGTGCCTGGATTATTTTCTATATTCAAAATTCCATGTTTGGTCCTTTCTGGTACTAGCACTTATCCATTAGAGCACCCTGAATTCCATGACGAAGGGTTGAGTGCACTTCCACTATCTCCATGTTGCTCCAGATTTAGTCCTTTTTCATAGAGAGGGGAAATTACCTGGTTACGAGGCATCTTACTATTCATTGACTCACCTGTAGTGTTACATGATAACTAGTTCTAGTGATAAAAGCTGCAGGGTCAGAAGCTCTGCAGCTAGGTTTGAGGACTCTGGTTGCTAATATTTTCCTCTGATGCGCTTCTTTGCAATTCATGTTTGAATTCTACAGCCTGTTTGTGTGAAGAAGTGGATCTGAGGAAAGGGTGGCCATTGTGTCTTCTGCTGGCCTAATTCATTTAGAAGTTGACGAATTCTCACTTATGTCTGTTTTGTTTTTTTTGCCTGTTATTTCCTGATTATGATTCTTTGTTTTATTATTTAAAATATGCTGGTTTTTAACACCCCAGTCCCTGTCTCCCTCCACATAGGATAATGTATCCAACTTGGGTTTGCTTCCTTATTTATGTACATTTCATGGTATGAGTTCCTTAAGTAACTACACCAGTTCCAGTCTAAAACATTTTACAATCTATCACTATCCTGGTGATTTCGCTCATTGTGGTTATTTAGCACTTTGATGTCTGACTGGCTTTTTTAAACTTTGGGCAAATTGTGATTGGTGGAACATCTCCACCTCCAAGGTGGCCTGTAAGTACAGTGTGCCCTTTATTCTAGAAATATTAGGGGGAAAGGGAATAATCTGTCACAGGGAGAGGTAACCTCATCGTTCTTCTAATGAGCAATACACGTAATCCTTTGCCTGCCGTCTGCCTGTATATATAATACACAGTGAGTTACTCGTTTTCGCTGCTTGGCAGGTTATTACTTTTCTATGATTGGTGGTGGCTTCTCTTGGGTTGGACCTGATTTTATGTGATGAAAATTCCAAGTTTTAATTTTCTCTGTAATTAACTAGTCGAAAAATCTGTCAATCCCCCTAGTTCATTGCAGAAATGAATTGTTTTATAAAAAAAAAAAAAAAAAAAAGATAAAAATAAAAAAATGCATTGTGGGAATCTTCCAAGAATTTATTGAAGGTTAACTTGCTTAACGTATGTCTGGGTTACAACAGGTCTCTCACTTTGATTGCAATTAAAAACAAATATTGGACTCCATATTTTTTAATTTTCAAACTCGTGCAAATCACAAGTGGGACATTACTTCCTTTTTTGTGTGAATATTCATTAACTGAGTCATTGAATTGCCTCCGGTAGATTGACCTAAATTTCTATTTACTATTCCCAGTGGCGTTGATAATTTTAACATTCCCCATCTGTGTCCTTGGAGTTCATCTGATGGTCATGTTTCACGTTTCCAAGCTTCAAACCTCAGTTAATAAAATATTTAGATACATTTACCCATGTAATCTTTTAAAAAACCCTTGTACTTTGCATGAACTATGTGCATGGAAGGCAGTGGTGCATGGAGGGTGTATGTATTCGGTGTTACAGTGTAGACAAGGGTGGGCAGATGCCTACAGTCCTGATGCCTTGCGAACCTCCGTGTGACTTTGTATCATATTCAGAATGAAACGATATATTCCAGTTAGCTTGCAGACTGGCATTGAGTCAATATGTAGAGTACCAACTCCAGCCTCTGTCGTTTTGAAAAACATAGGTTTTATTTTGTTAAATGAATGCTTGCAGAATATTAACCTGTTTCATTGTCTACCCGTCCCCGCCCAACTCCATCTTTTAACATGTAACATCTAGCCTCTTATTCCAACTGCTGGTTTCAGTTGAAAAGCAGAATGTTCCTTCCCAATATTACAGAAATACATTGTATACATATAGTCTTATTTTCTAATTAGTGTACTATTAAATGACCGTGCCATTAAATATTTATTTAGGAGTGCAGACATTGAATTTCAGATTTTGTTTCATAGGTCATCCACACTAAATCATGGATTTCAACCTAACTCAATAACTAACTTAGCGATAGCACTGTCTTAAAAGAAAATATTTTAATTAATCTATTTTATTCTTCTCCTTTCCCACTCGATTGTAGCATCTCAGAAGCACTGATATTGGTAAAGGTTAATATCTGAATCATTTGGTGCTAATTAAATCTAGTGCTTGTCTGTTGCACAAATTCTATCTCCACTGATGTTATGAGTAAATTATATAGACTGGTGCTATTGTCACATCTGCTCACTGGTACAAATATGTTGGGCATTAACTGCTGTTTTTTGTTATTTATTTTTTTAATTTATAAGTTTAAAACAAGTGTATTAAATTAAAAGTCATATAATTTTCATTTGTTTTTAAAAAAAAAAAATGTATTCTATATTTTTATGGATCTTTAAAAAAAAAAAAAAAAAAAGCCTATTCTGATATTTACCCATATTCATAATTGTGTTTAAATTGTGCAGCTCGTATCCATGCTAATCCACGTGCATTGTGTATTGACTGTGAATATTGTTCCCTTAAATACTGTTGCTTTCAGTGAATTCTAGCAAACATCAGGTGTGCTAGCGATGTTCAAATCTCTGGTTGACTCTTCCACCGAGAGTAGAACATTTCCAACTTTGCTCTGCCTTCCTTCCTGTGTACAGCTCAATCCCAGACTGCCCCCTCACGTCCATATTCAGGAAGTCCTGAACTCTTGACTGGTGTTTGAAAGACAACTATTTAGAAATGCTTTTTATCAGCATTCCTCGGTTTTTATTTTCTTAAACTGCAAAAAAAAAAATGTCTGCTTCTGCTTCACATTCCTATGTTAACGTTTGTAGCCAAATACCACTAAGTCCTTAAGGTAAATTGCTACTGAAATACCCCTCTATCTCATAAGAGATAGTAAGTAGAGCATGCCTAGCAGAAGTTGGAAAACGTTGTTCTATAAGAGTTTGCATGTACAGGTGATTTTACCAGTTTTAAAATATAGAATACATTTAATGATTGCCTCCACAGTTATCTTAGTATTTCTAGAATCCAAAGGATCAAATTCTGTCAATGGGAAGATTTTTGTGCTAATCTCATTTAATAAGTGCAGACAGTGTGATTAAATGATGTCACTAACCTTTGTGTGTTTAGCCACACTCTACCTTGGTCTGGAGTGCCAGGGAACTTCCTGAAAATGAAAGTGTTTTGTGTTAATGAAATGTCAATCCTATGGATCTGGCTAGTAACTTATATGGAGTTTAATGGGCCCCTACAGATACTTTGCTCATGAACGAAAAGATCTATACAATCATGTTTGGCAATTTTTCAATTTGTCTCACTGTTACTAACCTCTGGATGTTTGGATCTTTAACTGTAAAAACACAAACATATAACCTTTGCGCTGTGCGCAGGGCATTATAATATGGATCCCGATAGCTTAGAGATAAGATGGCTACGTAGCCAAAACTCAATGTGAAGTAGCTAGACCAACTCAAATATAAATAAAAAAATACAAACAAATATACAACAACAAAAATGTGTCTGCGTTTTGTTCATCCCATTCACCAATACACTCCAAAATCAGTCTGTTACTCACACGTATTCTCCGCAATAGACAATAAAACAAAAACGTACAAGATTTTGAGGTTTTTTTTAAAGTTCGGTGAGATGCTTGGCATGTGTTCATACACATAAAATACATACTTGGTTTTCAGATTTACGAGCACAATAAAAACACGACTTATTGAACTTTTAAAAAGTTTTTTGCTCAGCCTGGTGGTAACACGTTAAACAATGTCCGAAGAAGACAACACTGTGCAATGAGACTCAACCAAAATGCATGATTGACTGTCACCATTATGGAACAGTATTAATAGTCTTAGAAGGTCCATTTGTGCTCTCTGTCTTATCATTGATCTTCGTGACCACTCCGCATGCTTGTCATCATTCTCTGCGCAGTAAATAAATGTTTTTGAACCATACCAGAAGAAAATATTCTCCTACCACTAAAGATATTTGTATCATTCCTCTGATGTCTCTGCTCCTCAAAGTAAATGCAATGTTGTGGAATACATCAGGGCACTTGACCTAACAAAGGAGTCAAACTCCAGGAAGACCAAGTCCTAGAGCAACTGTTCTATATCACGAGTATATAACTTGCTCCGGTAGCTGCAGCCTGTTCTGTTTAGCTAAGTTTCAGTATGGTCACACAGCATTTCATTCTCAAAGACAAGCTATGGCTGCACTGAGAAGGGGAGAATTATGAAAGTGTCAACAGCGGAAAAGTGGTCAAACGTCCTTCACAAATGCTTCATATTTAAAATTTTGATCACATCCCCAACAGAAATTTTTTAATTTGTATCCCTTTGTCTCTCTTTTGCAATCATTCACAAAAATACAGGAATTGTTTTTAAAAAAAATAATAATTACATGTTTATTAAAAGATTCACTAAAGATAGAGAAGTAACGTTATCCAGGTTATTCACGTCTTGCCTAAACTGTGAATTGAAAAACTATGCTATAGTCTCAGCTTGGAAATCTTAGCCCAAATTTTGCTACAAATTGGTGTAAGCCCCAAAGTGTTGTTTTAGCACACCATTCAGAATTTTTGTTGATCTGTAGGGAATATTCGGAATGGAAAGCAATGGGGAATTTGAATTTAGCCTACTTTAAGGAAAAGTAATGGTAAAATGAAAAATCGTTTGTTTAAAACAAGGACATGCCAACTTTTGCATTTATAAATATAATGATATTCTTTGTACAGAACAGTTAGATCTAGGCTTTGAGCACTGACAATACAAACTGCACAAACATGATGAGCAGTTTAACATTGTAGTGGTAGCGAACTACAACCAAAATATGGATGAAAATAACGGTTTCCAAAGCCTGCACGGCTTATTAACTAAACAGAAAATCTTTCTGAACTAAAACTAAATTGCCAAATTTAGGCACCGAATGCTAATTGGAAAAATAGTCTTCAGTTTAGTGATAATCTCAGCTTGGTTATTTTAGCATACATTTTGCAATTCTCTGTTCAGTGAATACCGGTTGTCTGGATAAAAGTTGAAATCTGTAAATAGAACAGTTGCACTTGCAGACGCCGTGATTGGACAAAGCAGTTTTTGGGCATTGATGTTACCGTGCAACCATTTTGAACTCTGGTAGTGAGTGATGATTTTATTTGGGCATGCTGAATGTGAACTTGCAGTACGTTCTTAATCTCATGTAGAGTGGGAACAAAGGCCTCCGTTTAAAAGGCTTTGCAAATGATTACATTTTACAGAAGTCACAATTAGACTTTTTTATAGATAATTTTTCTACCAGTAGTGAATCCGTTGGAAAGCTTAGTAAATAGAGGCTATGATTTGAATACAACCGATGCATGCTGCACACTAAGATATTGTTTGTTGCCTGACTTGCACCATCTCCGTACTGGACCTCTGCAAGACAAAACTTTGCAGCAACACGTTTACATACGAGCAATAAGGGACCGTAAACAGCTATGTTATCCGTGAAGAGTGGTCTACTTGTGAAATTTACACTATAAGCTCTTCATTAATAAGGACATTTTGTATCAACACGTTTATTTTTCTCATAGTTTGGAAAGCTGACAATAGGTCATTTTCATAACATGTTATTTATGAAAGTGGGAGTTGCCAGGAATTCAGTGTCTGTTTCGAATTGTAGGCCAGAGTAGGTAAATTTTTCAGTTCTCGTTATTTCCACTTTGGCTGCTTTCGGGTTCACTTTTTCCCAACGGTTAATAATCTTCCAGGTTTCATACTGGGTAAAACTGTGGCTAATGAAACAGTATTTGACTGATATCAGAATTGCACAATATTTATAGATCGCTCTACCTTTTCCATACCTATGCTGTGCTGCTTAAAGTATCTCCAACTGGTTAACCATATATCATGTATCCCCTACTCTTCCAGTGTAACAAAGCCCCCCCCCCCCCACATTTAAATTCCATTACGGTCACCCCATCCATATAGGCTGGCTGGTAACATTATTTGAGATACAGACCGGTATTGCACACCAGACCTTGTTCTTTGATATTGAATGGATTTATCATTCTGCTGGGACTCCCATCATCGTATGCCATATTGTTTTGAAACCATAACTGTGTTAAGTTCCCTGAAAGCTCTAGTCCGATCTCTCTACCTGTTGACCCTGGAGTCTGAGAGGACCAGCAGACTCACAGATGTCTGAATATGTAACTGTTTCTATGCCGTCAGTCTGTGATACAGAGCGTATAAAAACTGCATAGACGTGTATGTTTTAAATACTTTCAGGAATACCTAATAATATATGTTCTTTATATAATTTAGCACTTTACTAATGTGTGGGAAGAGATATATAGTGTTTAGGCTTACTTTTACAAAGTTTGATATGAACATTGCATTACGGGTAGATCCAATATAATGTCCACATTTTATAAGATTTTAATGTATGTTTTAATTATAAATTTAACTAACTCTTATAGCCCTGGAAGGTTAAATAGCGCTTTGAGGAATAGGCTAAGGAGTTAGGATATAGAAGCCTTTGTTTTAGCCATAGCTTCACTTCACTTCACCTTGGTAGCAAATTAAAAACAAAACAGAGGGTGCAGATTTCGAGGATGGAGCATAGAGAATGAGAGAGAATGTTATTTAGCGCAAAAATGTAACTCCGTTTAATGGGCACATGACTGCATTTCAACCTCCTACGCCAAGTGCTATCCCCCGTGTTATTTTTGGCTGGATACTGATTCAAGACAATGTTGATTGTTATCTTCATAGCGATCCCCCAATAATTTCAACACTCTGGATCCAATATCTAAAGAGTGGTAGCACTTTTCTCCCAAACATGTATTAGGGATTGAAATTTTAGAGAATATTTTCAAGTCTTTATGGTTTTGTCTGTGCCTGGCCACTAATTAAATCCTGCTCACACACTTTATATCCCCTGCACAGCACACAAAGTGATCGTGGAAAAAGTGGTTGTAGACCTTTACAAAAACACACTGCCACATCTAATGCCATGTGTGATATTTTAAGGTTTCTCCTGAAATTGTGATGGGTAATGTTATGTTGGCCTAGCAAGTGCAATTTGTATTTAGTAATTATCACTAGTGCAGATTAGTGCATCACCATAGGGTATCTACTGAACAGTCTTCTCCTGGCGTCCAGAATCTTGTATATCTCTCTCCAAGTGTTGTATATTCCACTCTTCATAAGATACATAGTTCAACCATAAACAGAGTTCTACCTATATGTGTACAGAGTAGGTAAGGCAATGTATGGGGTTATAAGAAACAAGGGTCGTTTAATTGCTGGACTCGGGTTGTGTATGGCTAACTCCTCTTTGTTGATTGGAGACAAATCGACTCCTCTTGGCTTCTGGTCACCTATAAAAGGAAAACATTTTTAGTCTAATGCATCTCTGTAGAGAAGCAAGTATGTTCTTACATCTTGTAACCATGTACATCATAACTCATTGGTGTAGATTTACTAAGAAGTGAACATCTGGTCCATACCTTGAAACATTTCAGTAATACGCAGTATATACTTACAGACCAGAGTATGTTAACGAAACAACGCACGCACTCTCTTAATGGACAGCAATAATTAAAGGTGTTCATTTTCTAGCATTTACAAAGCTTTCCGCAGAGTTTTGAAATGAGAGAATTATTTTAGGTCTGGCTACGTCCCATAGTAATGGGTTCTATGTGAGCGAGGAAGTTAATACAATGCAATACATACCCCATTGGTAATTTTTTATCCTAGTATTACTCTTCCACTGGAACAGAACAGTTCTCCTTGTTTTCTGATGCTATTGCTAGATAATCAGAGCTGAAAAAATTCAGAAAATGGTATGTTGAACAGATCTTTGAGTATCCTTATAAAGTATTATTTGTTCAATACATCTGCTAAAAGGTTTAACTTACCATCATAGCTAATGTTCTACTGCATTAAAGATTATACCATTACACATATACAAGAGTTCCACGTTTAAATACAATACAACATGCTTGTAAAGGTGGAGACATTTTCTGTGTACACAACTTCCTGTTGCATCGAAATATATCTATGGCGCTCTCTCAAAAAATAAAAATCACAAAAAAATTGGTCGGGCATAATCCTACTCCATTTAGTTCTGCTTAGTAATGGGTACTAGGTGTAAGACATTATATATTTCAGAATTTTCTGATTAAACTTTCAACCTACACTTTTCTTCAAGACCATTACACGTGTTACAGACAGACAGCAAAAAGTCAAGGGTAATCAATCTGTGAGAAACCTCTCACAGTTTTACCATAATATCATTGTGATAGAAATTTGAAAGGTTCATGAAAATTAGTCCACTGGATGCTGGAGCTGGAATGAATGTTACTGCCCCTGGATAGAAATCTCTCTAATTTAACAAATTTTGTTATTCTAGATCTCAAGAGACACGTACACGGCCATTGTTTGACTTATCCTTTCTGTGCTAAAGCAAAGACCTTTGCATGGTGCTGCTCTATGAACAGTTGGTTTCTCAGGGGCCAGACTTACACGCTCTCCTGGTTCACGTCTTCTGCTTTGGAAATCTTTCTGTAGCAATAGACGATTTCCACCAGTAACCAC